TAACCTCATCTTAGCTGACCTCTGGACCCTTTCAGTTCTTCTCCACTCTTCCAGAATGGGGAGCCCCACGCGAGGACACACTATTGCAGATGTGTCCACAGCAGTGCTGAATCAAGGTGGAAATAACCCCTTGCCTGGGTGGCCATGCTCCTCCCAGTACAACCCAATGTGCACATGGCCATATTCATGCTTAACACTACTGGCTCCTATGGCATCCCTTGTCATGCCCAGGTCCTCCTCCTTGAGCTTGCTCCTATCCAGCCAGGTCTGAGGCTGCCTTGATGAGGACACACGAGTTAAATGAAATTGCAAGCCAAGGCAGGTGTTACACAGAATCACAGAATGTCAAGGGTTGGAAGGCACCTCAGGAGATCATCCAGTCCAACCCCCCTGCTAAAGCAGGGTCACCCAGAGCATGTTACAGAGGACATCATCCAGGTGGGCTTTGAATATCTCCAGAGAAGGAGACTCCACAGCCCCCCTGGGAAGCCTGTTCCTGTCACCCTCAAAGTCAAGAAGTTTTTCCTCATATTCATCTTAAACCTCTTATGTTTCAGTTTGTGCCCAAGGCCCTTTGTCCTGTTGCTGGGCACCACTGAGAAGAATCTGGCTCCGTCCTCATGACATCCACCCTTAAGATATTTGTACATGTTGATTAGATCCCCTCTCAGTCTTCTCTTCTTCAGGCTGAAGAAGCCCAGTTCCCTCAGTCTTTCCTCACAGGGGAGATGCTCCAGTCCCCTAATCATCCTAGTTGCTCTCCTCTGGACTCTCTCTAGGAGTTCCTCATCTTTCTTGAACCAGGGGCCCAGAACTGACTCAGCTCTGTTTGGTCATCTGAGTAATTCTGTAGGCTGCTGTGGGCATAAGGAATAGGGAAGGGTTATTTGTCCTAACTGCTGTCATCTGATGTTATTTCTGTCTACCAGAGGAATTCCGCACTGGACTCCAAGGTGCTGCCCCCAGATGCTGCCCTGTCTCTCAGCATTGCTCCATTAGAGCTTGCAGTCACCTGCACATATCGTGGATAAACCCTGGTGTCACCTTGAATGCCAACAGGTGTTCCCACCTGAATAACTCCCTCCATCTCCATTAATTAGGTGCCTATTTTGTGCACTCATGAACTGAGGCAAGAGGAATCCCACCTCCTGTGGGTTTGTGGCCTGCATGAAAGGGAGCTGAGTCCTCTTCATGCCCCGGGACTGCAAACCCACAACTGAGATGCCTTGATTGACTCATCTGCATCCCCTCCCTCAGCAGGGGTAAAGGAGATCACTCCCTGTCACTCTCTGGGTGTCCTGTCTAATGATGGGACAAGGAAGGCAATTCTCATGCCTAAATCTATTCTTCATAAGATAAATTACAGTGCTGGGAAGAAGTGTCTTTCCCCAGGTGAGGGAGGGAACATCAGGGATGACCTCAGCCTGTTTCACAGTACGTTCCCCTGGAGCCCCAGGGACACCTGGAGGGAGGGGCCCTTGGGCTGGTCCTCTGCTTCTGAGCTGGGCTGGGCTTCTAGAAGGGAGGGAGCTGATGGCAAGTGGGCAACAGTGAAGAGAGACAGCTCTGCCCAGCAGCAGCTCCTCTGCAAAGCGCAGCAGGGCCGAGGGCACTTCCTGCAAGCATGGAGGGGAGAGGAACGAGGCAGAGAGACGTTAAAGGCAGCCTGGGGTGGGAGGATGCTGAGAGCTCACTTTAGGAGAAATTGTTACAGCCCTCTGTATGGCAAGTCTGTGGCTGCAGGGCTTGAATCTCGTGTTCCTGGAGGCATCTCCTAGAGCTGGTTCATCCCACAGCTTGTAGGTTCTGGGAGGAGGGTTCTCACAGTTTCCCTAGCATAGAGGAGGAGGATGTGCTCTTGAGCAGAGCTTCCCAACTTTGCTGTCAGTAGGATAGGGTAAGATACCAAGTACCAAGAAGATGGTAAAAGTGGGGATTACTTGAAGGGGAAGGAGTCTGTGCTTTGAGATTTGTCCTGTTGCTTGGCTGTGCTGGAAGTGGGAGATGAGAATTTATTTTCCTGCTCTTGAGATGATGCAGAGACACCCATTCTCTTGAGGACTTACCTGAGCTTCTTGTTAGCTCCTGTGCAGACAGAGACGCCCCCAGAACAGTTCCCTGCTGCCAGGAGGAGTTTGCAGGGCAGAGCCAAGCACACAGGGAGTGGGATGGGCCTCTCTTTCTGTGAGCACTGACAAGGAGGAGACGTGGACACAGGCAGATGGTTCCCACCAGAGACAGCTCCAGGCAGCAGAGACATTGTCAAAGAGTGAGACAGAGGAGATCTCATAAACATGGTGGGAGGGGGGATTCGGGCACCTCCTTGCCATGCCCTGCAGTGCAAGCCCCTTCCCCGGAGCAACTCCCTGCTCTCCTCTCCCCCACAGGGTTGCTCCCCACGTTCAGTGTCACAAGGACATGGCCGTCAGTTCCCTTCCCAGCAGGCTGACCAACAAAGGGGGATGAGGATTCAGGTTCAGCTGAGACACCAGGGCTGTGGGTCCTGTCGTGCAGATCTCTTCATAGAGGAAAAGCAACAAAATGTCTTCCCAAACTCTTAGGCTTTGGACACTACCATGTGTGAGGGTTCAAAAGCTCTGACCTTCCCTTTACAAGAACCCATCTTTAGGACATTTGACTTTTTGTCTGGGGGGTCATGCTGAGCTGCATGTGCTGTCCAGGAGGGTAAAGCTCTCCTATGACATCACTGTGTTTTCCGATTGCCCAACAGAGAAGACACCATGCGGCTCATGTCCAGGAAATGCTGTAGGTGGGCAGCTTCCATGAGCCCTCGGTGTCCCTGGTTGGGAGGGCAGAGCTGAGATCCTCCTCAGGTATGAGGGGCTGAGGGCTTTGGAGATCTGCACTTGGAAACCGGATTCCTCTGCTCCCAGCAGTGCCCTGTTTCTTTTGGGGGGAATCGCCAAGTGCATTAGAGCTGAAAAGAGATGGAGCTGAAAGAGCTGCCAGCACAGGGCAGCTGAGCCCAGGGCTGATGGACAGAGCGGCTGTCCTCCCTCTGCACTCAGGGACAGTCCCTTTGCCTCTCAGGACCCACAAGATTTCCCTGGCAGTGCAGCAGAAATGCCAGGGATTTCTGCATGAAAACCTCTTCTCAGCTGTGGTGGGCCAAATGGAAGAGAAAGCACAAAAAAACCTTCCCCACAGCTCTGCTATTCAGGAGAGAACAGATATCACCCTGTGTTCCTCTTTTCCTATTCTTGTAGGGCAGAACAGACTCCTGCAGAGATCACAGCATAGCCTCCTGCTCCCTGGGACACCCTCAGCCAGCCTGAAGGAAAGGGCATGAAAGGAACTTGCAAAGGTCTTCCTGAAAGGAGAGAGGAAGTTTATACAGGTGAAAACTGATTAGATTTTTCTAGATAAAGATATTTTAACTTAATAATGCATTTTCCTGCTAGAACAGGTCTGCATGTCTAGAAGAAGAAAATGTCCAATAGCAGTTCCATCTTTGAGTTCCTCCTCCTGGCATTCGCAGACACACGGGAGCTGCAGCTCTTGCACTTCTGGCTCTTCCTGGGCATCTACCTGGCTGCCCTCCTGGGCAACGGCCTCATCATCACCGCCATAGCCTGTGACCACCGCCTCCACACCCCCATGTACTTCTTCCTTCTCAACCTCTCCCTCCTCGACCTGGGCTGCATCTCTACCACTGTCCCCAAATCAATGGCCAATTCCTTGTGGGACACCAGGGCCATCTCCTACGCAGGATGTGCTGCCCAAGTATTTCTGTTTGTCTTTTTGATGTCAGCAGAGTATTGTCTTCTTACTGTCATGGCCTATGACCGCTACGTTGCCATCTGCAAACCCCTGCACTACGGGACCCTCCTGGGCAGCAGAGCTTGTGTCCACATGGCAGCAGCTGCCTGGGGCTGTGGCTTTCTATATTCTCTCCTGCACACAACTACTACATTTTCCATACCTCTCTGCCATGGCAATGCAGTGGACCAGTTCTTCTGTGAAATCCCCCAGATCCTCAAGCTCGCCTGCTCAGATGCCTACCTCAGGGAGGTTGGGGTTATTGTTGTCAGTGTCTTTGTGATTCTTGGATGTTTTGTGTTCATTGTGCTGTCCTATGTGCAGATCTTCAGGGCTGTGTTGAGGATCCCATCTGAGCAGGGACGGCACAAAGCCTTTTCCATGTGCCTTCCTCACCTGGCTGTGGTCTCCCTATTTCTCAGCACTGTAGTGTTCGCCTACCTGAAGCCCCTCTCCATCTCTTCCCCATTCCTGGACCTGGTGGTGGCGGTGCTGTACTCAGAGGTGCCTCCAGCAGTGAACCCCCTCATCTATAGCATGAGGAACCAGGAGCTCCAGGATGCTGTGTGGAAACTGATGACTGGGTGGTTTTCTGAACCAACAAAATTATTCTACGCAGCAGCTATAATGTAACTCATTGCAGGCTCAGCTTGTCTTTTGTACTTTTTTTTTTTGGTGATGATATTTTACATCTAGTAATATTGTCGTCCCCTTTCAAATTCACTGTCTGCTTTGCTTTCCTGACTGAGTGGCTGCATAAATGAGAAGCCACACACTTTGTGTGTTTAAACAAAATAAAGAGCCCTTAAATGACCCTCCCTGGGGAGGGGATGGGGCACATCCTCCTGCACCATTTCCAGGCACCTGAAGGACAACAAAGGGATTGCTGAACCAGAATGGGCAGGGGAAAGAAAGGCATGCTGTGTATATGGAATTTGGCAAGGCCTTTGTCATGGTCTGCCATGGTGTGCTTATCACCATATTAGTGCTATCTGGGCTGAAAAAGTGGACATTGGGTGGGAAGTTGTCTGGATGATCAGGCCCAAATGTCATCAGTGGTCTAAAGTCCTCTGTGCAGGCAACTACTAGTGGCAGCCCTCAGTGACCAGCACTTGGGCCAGCTCTGTGGAACGTATTGATCATCCTCCTGTAGGGTGTGTTGGAACGCATTTTCAGCTCTTTTGTGGATGAAGCAAAGCTGGGCGGAGGCCTTGAAGAGCTTCATCTGGTCCAGCCTGCCTTGAGCAGGGTGATGTTCAGGGCTCTCTTCAAACTTGAGTTGTTCTATGATTCAGTGAATCTTTCCCTTGGAGATGTTCTTGAAGGCAGAATGGGTGGAGGAAGAAGATTAAAAATAAAAGGAGAGGCAGAAGAGATATAAAATGTGTCAAGAGAAATGCAGCAGTTCCTGTGAAGAATGTTTCTCCACTCAAATCGTTAGTAGGAAATATCTTTGATAAGTTTGATAAAACAAACATTCCTTTATCTGGTCAGGTCCTGGGCTGTAAGGAGCATGATGGATTGGTATGGTATGATGAGGTCAGGTGTGTCTCAGAAACTCCCAATCCAGGAGGAAGCATGGGGCTGTGAAGGGGACTGTGAGGTCAGTTCTGCCTCTGGAGGTGATAGGCCAGCAGCAGGAACATGGTATGGTGGTGTGCTCCATGCCCCACAACCCCCTCACCTGACCTTTTCCCATAACCCTGCTCAAGCAATAACCGCTAGTGCCATTCGTGATGGATGGATCTGGTCTTGATGGATGGATCCAGCTCCAAGGGGATTCGGGGAAGACAGATAACAACACAGTAGCCAGCATCTGATTTACAGCACAGTGTCCAACTAACCGCAGTGCTGGTCAGTGTCTGGCTCAAGCCAGTCAGTATGACTGTGAGCCGATTATCTTACCCCCATCAGTAGTGAGCAGCCCAAGAGCCCTTTGAGCTCTCCTGCACAGCAGCGGGCTGCGCGCCAGGATCTCCCCTTGAGCAGGGACACCTTTCAAGGTCAGTCCTCAGGGTTGAGAGATTCCTTGCCATAAATGACTCTCGATAAGTGGCTCACAGCATGCTAACTCTGACACCTTGGCTCAGTGATATAAAGAATTGATTGTGCATATCTAATCCTTTAGACCTAAATCACTGATTAAGTCTGTGAACAGTACTGGATCCATCCGCACTGGGACTCCTCTCTGAGGAAGGAGTTTAGATAGCAAGGGCATCCTTTCTGAACCTCATGACTCAATGGGAGCGT